AAGAAGAAAGGTTGGCAAATGTGACTTTACCAAACCTCAAACAGTGGGACTCCAGGAGAAAGTTGACAAATGTGACTTTACCAAACCTCAAACAGCTGAATCCCAGGAGAGAGGTTGGCAAGTGTGACTCTACCGAATCTGAAACATTCGGACTCAAGGAGAAAGTTGACAAATGTGACTCTACCAAACCTCAAACAGCTGAATCCCAGGAGAAAGGTTGACAAGTGTGACTCTACCGAACCTCAAAGAGTGGGACTCCAGGAGAAAGGTTGACAAGTGTGACTCTACCGAACCTCGGACAGTGGGACTCCAGGAGAAAGGTTGACAAGTGTGACTATACCAAATCTCAAACAGCTGAATCCCAGGAGAAAGGTTGAAAAGTGTGACTCTACGGAACCTCAAACAGTGGGACTCCAGGAAAAAGGTTGACATGTGTGACTTTACCAAACCTCAAACAGCTGAATCCCAGGAGAAAGATTGACAAGTGTGACTCTACCGAACCTCAAACAGTGGGACTCCAGGAGAAAGGTTGATAAGTGTGACTCTACCGAACCTCAGACAATGGGACTCCAGGAGAAAGGTTGACAAGTGTGACTCTATGGAACCTCAAACAGTGGGACTCCAGGAGAAAGGTTGACATGTGTGACTTTACCAAACCTCAAACTGCTGAATCCCAGGAGAAAGATTGACAAGTGTGACTCTACCGAACCTCAAACAGTGGGACTCCAGGAGAAAGGTTGACAAGTGTGACTCTACCAAACCTCAGACAGTGGGATTCCAGGCGAAAAGTTGACAAGTGTGACTCTACCGAACCTCAGACAGTGGGACTCCAGGAGAAAGGTTGACATGTGTGACTACCGAACCTCAAACAGCTGAATCCCAGGAGAAAGGTTGACAAGTGTGACTCTACCGAACCTCAAACAGTGGTACTCCAGGAGAAAGGTTGACATGTGTGACTCTACTGAACCTCAAACAGCTGATTTCCAGGAGAAAGGTTGACAAGTATGACTCTACCGAACCTGAAACAGTGGGATTCCAGGAGAAAGGTTGACAAGTGTGACTCTACCGAACCTCAAACAGTGGGACTCCAGGAGAAAGGTTGGCATGTGTGACTCTACCGAACCTCGGGTGTCCAGATATAAAGTGTGCTAATGCTCAATGTGTTTTTGAAAACTTATGAAACTATAAAACTATGATTGTAACTCATATAAAATTATCCTAACTTTGCATCGAGAATAACTGTAAAACTATCTATTAACCTCATAAACAAAAATGTTAGACCAAACAATTTAGCAGGATGTCAGATATCACTGCAACATAATAATTTACAGATTGTTGGGAACCATTTTTATTTTTATTTTTTTAGCCGCGGCATAGGGGCTCATAGAATAGCTCTGAGTTTTTTCAACTACAAACGTTTAGCTCATAGCTCCATCTCTTGGCCGTTTTGAGATCTAATTACAGCAGCGGCTATTGAGTATCCCCGCTTATTTTTTCTTTTTACTTGCTTAAACTTAGAATATTTTTATTATGCTTTTGACACCTTTGTATTATGCCTTTTCTAGCTCAGTTCTAGACTATTCAAAATGTAAAACTAATCTATCGGAATTAGACAGAAAGGAGAGGACTGTTTGGTATTATGTAATGAAATATATTGTTGCGTCAACGAGGTCACGTGACTATATCACGCCACTCCTTCTCTCGAACCTTCGTGAATTGTCGGGAGATTACTAGATATAATTATTATTATGTGATGGTATTATATTATTATATGGTATTATGTGATGAAATATATAGATATATGAGAAAGCCTAATTATATGACGATTAAGAGAAAACGGAGTTACTGGTCGTTTGTAGCAAGCACGAAGCTGCTTAATAGGCTATCTGTGCTATGTTCAGCAAACTGATCGAACCTGGAATTTTAGCGTTATAAGCTCTAAAGCTTACCGCTGAGCCACCAGGTGGGAGCGAAATAGAACAACTGTGAACCAGAGGATACTCTGTAGAGCGCATACCTCCGCCACGCAGCGTTGATCATATTCAAACAAAACAAACGAAAATGTGTCCGTATGTCCGTATTTATCAACGGACACGGATCATTTTTTTTTGCAGGACAACGAGAATAACATTCTACATAAGTTTACCACGTTTCATCACAATCTAATCGTTTTTGATTGAGTTATAGAGCAAAAAATAGTGTGAGAAATTGGTTCCCATGTTAATAGATAGGGATTTTTTGTTTTTGGATATTCGTGACTTTTCTGTGACCTTGAACTTTGACTTTGTCCCTTCAAAAAGCTAATCACTTCTATGTTGGGTCATAGTCCAAATGTATACCAAGTTTCGTCCAAATCCATTCAGCCGTTTTCGAGAAATCTTGCTGACATGAATACACACACACACACAGGGGTGAAAACATAACCTCCGTCACCTTCTGTGGCGGAGGTTATGAATGAGGCAATGGAGGAGCACGAGTGACATGATACTGTATTTGGGGAGAATAAACCTGCTTTTATGCTACGTTAGAAGGTAAATATGATTTCAAGCATTAACCTCCAACGGTTATATAGGTGGCCATAACCAGAGGTTTTTGACCTCATAACAACAACAAAAACGCGAAATAAATGACTCATATTTTCACAATCTAATGTTGAGCTCGTTCATTGTAGAAAAACAATAGTGCTTTTACCATCACAGTTGTAATCCACACCCAGTTTATTCAAATTTAAATGAACCAACAATGCACATTCTTCAAGAGTTTGACTCATGGTTGTTCCAGATAAGTTAAAAACCTGATCTTTTCACGATAATGTAGAC